GTTGGTAACAACCAACAGATTTTTTCCCAGCTTGACGGTTCTCAGCTTAAAAAGAGAAGTACATAATGGCCAGTCCGATACTTCACTTAGCATGCAGTGAACTTCATGGGATCTTGAGAACTGAACTAAGATGGCGTTGGAACTGTTTTATTAATCTGAATGTTTTTGATTCTGGACGAATCAAAGCTGATAGATTTATAAACACCACAGAGACTCTGCCACGCTTCAGACTAGGAAGGTTCTGATTGGATCAGTACAGCAATGTGTCATGTGATTGTTTACCTTAACGTGTGTCAGTGTGTCTAGTGAACTAGATTAAGTCATATTACTTATTAAAACATATTAATCATTATATTGTGATTTCACAGACCGGTCACATTGTATTATTGACTAACAGTTGATTTGATTAGCTTTATTAAAAATAGAGTTCTTTGATTTAATAAAAGATAAGAGTCTCTTCATCTTCTGTCTTCATTGCTGGAAAGTAAACAGTTTAGAAGCAATATGCATGACCCTGAGGCTGTTTCATGCACTCTGGCGCTGTGTCAAAAGCAACTGTGGAAAAGGTTAAATAACCTTGGAGGAATAGCTCCTTCACCACGTTACATATTCTTCAAGCTTCTCCATGTCTGCCACTAGTTACTCTCAGCTCTCTTTATGTTTCTGAGGGCGCAATGGCGGCGGTGTAGACGACAGCAGTGCCCTGACCAATCACAAGCTTGCGTTCTCCGTCTTGATGGACGGATGTTTAGAAACGAGAGCTCGACTCCGTAAGTCCTTGCGGGGCTCTCCAGCGGGCCCGCAAGGACAGATAATGGCGTTGCGTATCTCCGCACTGACGCAGAAGCATGAATCACGCTTAAATCGAGTACTTGGACCAAAATGGCCGACCTCCTGTATGACTTTGCGCTTGGCTCCAAGAGACTTTTTTGTAGTTCCTGAGATACTACATTAGTGTACCAAATTTCGTAATCCTCAGTCAAAGCATGGCTTGGGGCTGACAGTTTTAATGGTTCTAGGGGGTGCTATTTAAAAAAATAGACCACGCCCACCAGATTTTCACATCAGATTTTTTGGGGGGCCAGACTAGGATCGCTCACCATAAGTTTTGTGGCAATAGCTTTAGAAATGATGAAATGGGAGTCCAACGTATGGCCATGGTGGTACGCCTGACTTTGCCGCGCCGCCACAGCCCCGCCCTCTTTTGAAAACTCCCATAAAGTGACGCCAAGCAACCCCCACTTGTCTTGAGTTACCAGCTACAAATTTGTGGTGATTAAGTGAAATGGGGCGATTTGGGACCTATCACAGTAAAACGTGACCTTTTTGATCCTGAGGGGGCGGGGCTGGTGTGATGTCATCATGCAACCATTAATTTTTATTCGGGGCCGGATGCCAAAAGACCACAGACGTTTTTGCAACTCCACTATTTTTGGTTATGAAGTTATAGCCATTTGGTATGGTGGCGCAGTTGTTAGCACTGTTGCCTCGCAGCACGAAGGTTGCAGGTCCAAAACTCGGCTGCGGCCTTTCTGCGTGGAGTTGCGTGTTCTCCCCACGTATGCATGGGTTTCCTCCGGGTACTCTGGTTTCACCCACAGATCACAACATGCCCTACAGGTTAATAATTGTAAGTCGCTTTGGATAAAAGCGTCTGCTAAATAAATAAACGTAACATAATAAACATTTATATATTTTTGGCGAGTAGTCGAACTCCGAGGCCTGGCCCCGCCCCCTCAGCATACATGAAAGCCAGTTTTATTTTTTCTATTTGATTGGCCATCCCTTCTGATCAATTTCACACAAATGTCGAGACAATCGTGCGAAAAATTATCGAGTAAATCAATCAGAAGCAATCAATCAGAAGACCCTAACAGCGGCCAAAACGAGTAAAAATCGCCATTTCAACCCAAAATGGCCGCCTTCCTGTTTGATGTTGACCATGGTTGCCAGAGGATTTTCTGTGCGGACTGTTGAGTACTACAAGTGTACAAAATTTCATAACTGTACGACAAACTAAGGTTTATGGAGGGGGTATTTTTCACATTCTAGGGGGCGCTGTGGAGCTAGTTTTATTGCAATTTTTTTGGGACCTTTAAAATACAAAATTTTACACCACGCCTTACATGTGTGCAAAAATTCCTGAGTTTTCGGGTATGTTAAGAACTCAAAAATGCCAATTTACTTGGCGGAAGAAAAATAAACAGAGCAGATAGAATAGGCCTTTGCAGCGCTTTCGCTGCTCGGGCCTAAAAAATACATGAAAAGGATACTGAACAATCTAAACATCATACTGAACAATCTAAACATCATATAGACTAAGTGCTGAGTTTAATCAGCATTTAAGTGTAGAAATATTTACACTTTTAACATTACCGAATCGTCTTGTGACGTATTGGACCCAGCAATCTCTACCCATTCTAGGTCCAATCTCGATACTCGCACTGCACCCTGTGGTCTTCAACAAAGTGCACTTGGAGAAAGTGTGCTAAGGGTTCAAGTTGTGGTACACAAGTGTGCAAATAACTGCCAAATTGGGACAAGGAGCATTGCGTCATCGATCGCAACTCATGCCAGGATTCTGAACGCTGTGATACTTAAAAAAATGATCAACTTTTAAACAAACAATCACAATTATTTAAAATAATTTTACATTTGTTGCTGCTTTGTCTAAAAGTTTTAGAGCATCAACTTATTGCCCTAAAATTAACTACTTTCATTAGAAAATGAATATGTTCAGAAAAGGAACTTGAACCTTTTCTCCCGCAGCAATGAATTGTGGGTAAAACCCATCACCCAAGTCTGCAATGATGCAGACTTGGGTGATGTGTGGATCAAGGCTGTGCATGAGAATCGGGACACCCTACGCACTCACACCCCTGGTCGGGAATGTGCAATTCAAGAGCACAAGTGTGGAAGTGCGAGTATTGGGATTGGGCCTAGAGCTATGCTAACTGGCACATGTGCGCTGGATCGCTCCAATCTTAAAATCTTTTCAAGATTTTTTATTTTTTCTAATTAATTGTCATATTTTTTATTTATCTGCTCATAAACCATCATTTTGTAAGGAACCAAATGGATAAGAATGTTAATAGTACTAATTTATTTTAAAAAACCTCGTCAGGCTATTCATGTGCACCTTCCCATAACAGGTCATTCAAATCTCAGCTGGCATGCTCTTTTCGACACACCTGTTAAGTTGTGCCCAAACAAAAATATTTCACCAGCCACCACTGGTGAGTGCATGTTCTGCATGGTGAGAAGACCTTTGGAGGATGGCTGCTGGATATCAATAAAGCCATCGGGGACAGGCTGATATTCTGCTAAGGGTCTAGGGATTGGACTGCTGAGGAGTGGAGGAAAGTCGTTTTCTATGATGAATCCACCTTGTGATTGTTTAGAGCATCTGAATAAGGATTGTCTAGAATAGAAAAGGTGAGTGCTCCCATCAGTCCTGTGTCCTGCCACCAGTACGGCATTCTGAAACCATTCGTGTGTATGGGGGTTGATGCTCAGCTAAGGAAGTGGACTGACTCGCAGCTTAGCCTCAGAACACAGACACGGACAAAGAATGGAGTCTACACATCCTCCCAGTCCCAACCCTTTGGTGGTGAACAACGTCTTTTTCAGCGTGATGAAGCACCGTGCCATGAGGCTAAAGTCAGAAGTGAGTGACTCAAGGAGCATGCAATTTCAACACATTCTTGAACCCAAGACGTCAAAATATGACGCGTGTGACCAAGCGTCAATATATGACGATGCGGGACGCCCCAGCGTGTTAGGAGATGACGATCAGGGACAAACAGCTGACGCAGCGTCCCAGAGCGTCGGTGAGACGGACATTAGAACTACTTGTGAACTACTTAACCTTCCCCTCACCCCAATCCTAACCTTATGGTCACAGTTTATGGACCTTAAGGTTAGGATTGGGGTGAGGGGAAGGTTAAATAGTCGAATAATGTCCGTGTGACCGCGCACGTCAAACAGTGACGCCAGCGGAGCCACGTGACCCAGCGTGTCCCTGATCATCATCTCCTGACGTGCTGGGGCGTCCCGAATCGTCATATATTGACGCTTGGTCACGCGTCATATTTTGACGCCTTGGGTGTGAGAATGCCTTGTGCATTTACATTTGGGTACAAGGTCAGACTTGAGATTGTAATCTCATTCAGATTCCATGATCAATCATCATGAGGCAGGCGGACAAAAAAAAACACAAATCCCAAGCTTTGATTGAAGACTTGGTCAAGATTTGGAGCAATGACAGGCATTGTGTAAGAAAACAGGAACCGGGCTGCAAATGTTCAGTTTTCAAAGAAACTTCATTTAGTTGTCAGTTAACTCTTTTAAAACTCATGAAGTGCTTGTAATTGTACTTATATAGTAACCATGGAAACTTCTGACAGAAACTCTGGAACTACTGAAGCAGTAAGCTGTGAAAACCAACATTAGTGTCAATCTGTAAAAACCCAGTTCTTTAAATGTTTCAGCCCAACATTTGTCAGTTACACACTGATGTTTCTGCCCGCACCATCAAACTTAAACAAGCCAAACGTAAATCACAAACAGATTCTGTTCAACTGAAGTAATAACATCATCGGTTTGAATCAGATTCAAGTGTTTCAGCAGCACAACTGGAGACTCTCTGAAGCCTCCATCCTTTCAAGCTTTCCATAGAACGTTCACTTTGAATAAGCCGAATGACAGCTTTACTCTAGCAGATAGCTGATGCTTTCATCAGTGGGAGTGAAGTGGTGTCAAGCAGAAAGGTTCCTGTCAAATGCCGTTTTCAAGCTACATCTGCACCTGCTAGACCTTCATCGCTTACAGCAGCTACAGGGCTTTAATCGTGTCTTGAACAGAACTGCTTGTGCTTGAATGGAAATAAAATGACTTTATTGTGTCGCGCATTGATCTGGATTGTATCTCACTAGAATTATGATAACTACACAAGGACCGAATAGGAGCAATTTGTCTGGCTCATTGTGAAAGACACCAACCTCCATACTGGTGAGGTTACAGCGATGAGTCCCAGCAAACCAGCCATTGTTGGAGCACTGGTCGATGTCCACGTCCTGCAGGTTCACATCTACTCGGACAACACCCCTGTCAGAAAAGAGGGGGAAGAAAAGAGATTGAGTTGGAGGAAAGGCAGAAGAAAGGCAAGCAACAAGAAAAAAAGAGATTGTAGAGTTTGATTCAAATGAAGTTGAATAAATAAAGTTGATTCAAAATGAAGAACATTCTAAGAGAACATAGAAAAGTAAACAGACATGAGAGTAAGTAAAAGGGGTGTGTGTCCCATAAGTGAGAGAAAATAGAAATTTATGAAAATGGTGTAAAACTGTATAGATCACAAGGAAGAAAAGGTCAGAGGTCACAGACATGGAGAAGGACTGAATGAAATATGTCTCAAGTGTTCGAAGGTGTTAGCAAAGCATGAAGAAGTTACCTGGGATAAAGGAACAGCACTAAGCTCATTTAGCTGACAGTTTGTTCGTGTTAATAAGGAATCTTCCTCTTGCACCAGATTCAGTTATGGAGTCCCGCAGGGTTACGCTCTTGGTCCAATAGCCTTGATTTCTTTATGCTTCCAACATTAGACATGGGATAAATTCTCACTGTTATGCTTATGACTCAGTTATATTTGTTGATGGAACCTGAATAATCCAAGCCAGCATTTCTGAAGACACAATTTTTAATTTCAGACAAAACCAAGGTTGTTTGTTGAATGAAAGTTGTTCCTTTTTCTGGATGGTATCAACTTAGCTTCCAGTACTAATGTAAGAGACCTTGAAGCTATTCTGGACAAATGTCCTTTAAAGATGTCTTAGAATTGAAGAACCCAGTTTGAATGCATGCCAGATAGATCCACAGTTTGCGATCCGGTCCAACGGAGTATGGCTGAAGATTTCCTTGTCCACTTTTTGGAAAATATTCTGGTTAAGGTTGTCACGGTTCATGGTGAGCATTCCTGTGTGTGAATGGGCTTGTTCGAGATGAGCCAGTTCTGCGCAGATTAGATCAACGATGATCGGCACGCAGTGCAGGCCGGTTGGATTTGTGTCCGACTTGACGCCGACTTGCTCTGACGTCATGCATAAGTAGGCAACGATAGCCTTGTGAGATCAAGGCTGCCGCAGATTTTGGAGCAAGGTGCTGCAGTTGCTCTCCACCAGCTGCAAAACTTACGGCATGACGGGAAACGCCTGGCTCTCACCTGATCTAAGATCTGATTGGTTCACATTGTGATCCAAACATCCGGTGATAGAACATGAAATGTTAGTTGGTCACATGTATTCTGTAAATCATGTTACGTTGATGATGACAACTATATAGGCCATAAAGAGAAATGTGATTTGTGTTCTTTTGTCACGTTTCCTATGAGCACACTAAACCTACAGCTGATAACCTTTACTTATTATTACAGTCATGCCTCCATATGCATTACATGATGTCCACGAGCATGTGAGGATGTGTTTTGGTTGCTAAGAGGCACCAGAATTAAAATGAAAAATTAAACAAGTATGAATGCTAACGAGATATCCTCATCCATCGTCACCCGCGAGCTACACATGCAGGAAATTGTGTCCGACTTAAACGCCGACTTTCAGCCACTCCCCCTGCTGCGTCCGTCTGCTCTCGTCTGTTTTCCAGGCGAGGCACTGCTCAACTCGAACAAGCCCAATGTGTGTGTTGGTGTTCCTGTTGTCCCTGTGTTCCTGAATTGCAGGTAGGCGTGGTTGAGAGTCTCCAGCTGCCGATGGTTGTAATCAGCCTGGCCAGGGGATTTAAGCAGCAGTGAAGCACAGACGCAAGGCTGGAAGATACACTCACACCGGTACTGCTCATGTTGGGGTAAACTCATACCATTCAAAGCCAAGTCTCTTCTACCTTCCCTAGTCTTGTTGGAACCCTGTGCTCCTGATTAGATCTCATCTTGCATCATTTTCTTCCCCGGTACTCTTGCTTCCACCACCTCTCAACCACAAACCCAGATCCCTCACCTTCCCCTGGTCCTCACCTCTCAGCCGCCCATCTGCTTGCCGACTACTAATCCACTCAACATCTCCTGAGCCGTCACGGTAGCTCTGGACAATCACCGAGTCTCAGCTCCCTCCACGTCTAGGAAACCCTTGGCTCATGCACACCTGGCCTCAAGCCTCTCCCCCAGAAGCCGCTGCTCCTCTGTAAAACCGTTAGCTGCCTTTCCTCACTTCAGTAAACCCATGCTAGATTCTAAAACAGCTCACTAATATCAGTTTGTGTTTTTCCGCCGCGATCCGAAGATACTCCTGCTTGGTTTTCTGAAGCAGCACCCTCAGTTCTACTTCGTTTAAATAAAACTCATTTTCCCTTTATCATTGTCTCCTGGTTGATTCTGCAAGTCATGGGTCAGACGCGTAGATTCTGCATGTCATGGGTCAGACACGTAGATTCTGCATGTCATGGGTCAGACGCGTAGATTCTGCATGTCATGGGTCAGACACGTAGATTCTGCATGTCATGGGTCAGACACGTAGATTCTGCATGTCATGGGTCAGACACGTAGATTCTGCATGTCATGGGTCAGACGCGTAGATTGTGCATGTCATGGGTCAGACACGTAGATTCTGCATGTCATGGGTCAGACGCGTAGATTCTGCATGTCATGGGTCAGACGCGTAGATTCTGCATGTCATGGGTCAGACGTGTAGATTCTGCGTGTCATGGGTCAGACGCGTAGATTCTGCGTGTCATGGGTCAGACGCTTAGATTCTGCGTGTCATGGGTCAGATGCGTAGATTCTGCGTGTCATGGGTCAGCCGCATAGATTCTGCATGTCATGGGTCAGACAAGTAGATTCTGCATGTCATGGGTCAGACGCGTAGATTCTGCATGTCATGGGTCAGACGTGTAGATTCTGCATGTCATGGGTCAGACGCGTAGATTCTGCATGTCATGGGTCAGACGCGTAGATTCTGCATGTCATGGGTCAGACGCGTAGATTCTGCATGTCATGGGTCAGACGCGTAGATTCTGCATGTTATGGGTCAGACGCGTAGATTCTGCATGCCATGGGTCAGACGCGTAGATTCTGCATGTCATGGGTCAGACGCGTAGATTCTGCATGTCATGGGTCAGACGCGTAGATTCTGCATGTCATGGGTCAGACACGTAGATTCTGCATGTCATGGGTCAGACGGGTAGATTCTGCATGTCATGGGTCAGACGCGTAGATTCTGCATGTCATGGGTCAGACGCGTAGATTCTGCATGTCATGGGTCAGACGCGTAGATTCTGCATGTCATGGGTCAGACGCGTAGATTCTGCATGTCATGGGTCAGACGCGTAGATTCTGCGTGTCATGGGTCAGACGCGTAGATTCTGCATGTCATGGGTCAGACGCGTAGATTCTGCATGTCATGGGTCAGACACGTAGATTCTGCATGTCATGGGTCAGACGGGTAGATTCTGCATGTCATGGGTCAGACGCGTAGATTCTGCGTGTCATGGGTCAGACGCGTAGATTCTGCATGTCATGGGTCAGACGCGTAGATTCTGCGTGTCATGGGTCAGACGCGTAGATTCTGCATGTCATGGGTCAGACACGTAGATTCTGCGTGTCATGGGTCAGACGCGTAGATTCTGCATGTCATGGGTCAGACACGTAGATTCTGCATGTCATGGGTCAGACGGGTAGATTCTGCATGTCATGGGTCAGACGCGTAGATTCTGCGTGTCATGGGTCAGATGCGTAGATTCTGCGTGTCATGGGTCAGCCGCATAGATTCTGCATGTCATGGGTCAGCCGCGTAGATTCTGCATGTCATGGGTCAGATGCGTAGATTCTGCATGTCATGGGTCAGACGCGTAGATTCTGCATGTCATGGGTCAGACGCGTAGATTCTGCATGTCATGGGTCAGACGCGTAGATTCTGCATGTCATGGGTCAGACGCGTAGATTCTGCATGTCATGGGTCAGACGCGTAGATTCTGCGTGACATGAGTCAGACGCGTAGATTCTGCATGTCATGGGTCAGACACGTAGATTCTGCATGTCATGGGTCAGACGCGTAGATTCTGCATGTCATGGGTCAGACGCGTAGATTCTGCATGTCATGGGTCAGACGCGTAGATTCTGCATGTCATGGGTCAGACACGTAGATTCTGCATGTCATGGGTCAGACGCGTAGATTCTGCATGTCATGGGTCAGACGTGTACCTCGGACCACGACAAAGGTTATCTTGGATTATCCTGACTCATCCCTTTAGTTATGCTGCTAAAGAGAACCAGATGACTTGCTGACAACATTTGCTTTGGCTTCTATTGTGAGTTGGTGCTTTATAAGCAAACATAAATTTTCATTATTTGGTTTATTTTTATCTCAAGTGCATAAACTACACACAAGTTAATGTTTATTAAATGAGTTTGGCATTAACACTGACATGTTAGGTATACCTCGCTATTTACTGGTGCTACAGACAATAGCTTAGTATTGATGATATGTCATTATTTATTCATGAATCTATTGATTGCTGCAGGACACACTCGGGACTGGAGAGTTGAAATGTGAGACCTCGGACTATGAGTGCTGCTGCTCTCCCCTCCACTAAAGACGGCTGGTATGGATCCTCTGATGATTTCTCCTGTCTCACACCATTTTGTCACCTCTTCCTATCTTTTCTATTTTATCTCACTTATCTAGCAGATTCCTCTGGGTGATAATAGATGAGAGACTTGGCTAGAAAACATGTTTCATCCATTCATCCTAAATGTCAGAAAGCACAGCAGTGTTCACGAAGAAGCAAACAGGAAATAGATAGAAGACACTTTTTTTCTATTATTCACTGCTTTTACTGGTTTGAAGTATTCAGTTGCTGTGCTTGTGGATGAGGCTGTGGAACAGTTTAATGTGGACTTGAAGCTCCATTCAAACAAAAAAAGGAAATGTAAAGTGTGTACTGGGTCAGTGAACTGGGCTTAATTATGTAAAAACACATTTGATTTTTCTTTCGGGTCTTAACTTCTCTTGACTGACATCCTGAGTGCTCACACTCTATTACACATGACATTTTCTGTCTCCTGCTGAAAGGCTGAGTGTGTTTTCTCTTCCCATCTTGTCGAGCATGTTTCGTTGTAATGCTGACTTGCATTAACTCACACGTGACAAATAAAGTGAACATGAACTTGCTCAGATTCCAGGTCCAGAAACTAAAAGTGGCAAAGCCGTAAACCGAAAGGTTTGGCCTCATTTCAACAACAAAAAAGAGGCGGAGCTACGTCATCCATCTCTGTTTATGACAGCAATACGCACAAAAGGAACATGAGGTTGAAAAGGACAAAGTTCTGAACTCAGATCGATTAAAAAGAGATGGTCTGACCTCATTCACTCTTTATTGAAGTGATAAATTACAACATCAGGTGTTCCAGGAGGATAAGTGAAAAGCAGGTTTAAGCATTTGACTATAATTTCTATCTCAGGAGGAGTGAATGTTTATGAACTAAGCTCACACTGACATCTGCCAGGAGGTGCTGTAAACCATAGCTTATACTACTGATGATGATTTATTGTCTCTTCATAAATATATGGATTGTTTCAGGACACACTTGGACTGGAGAGTGAGGTTGTAAGTGCTGCACCTCCCCCCTCTACCTCTCAGCCAGCCTGTTGAATGTGATGCTTTGAAAGGATCCATCCATAAAGCTGCTGCATAAAGCCTTTATGATTCGCTAGCTTGGACTTAAATATAAGGGCCGTCATTTATTTGTTCAGCCACTGTCGCGGATTTAAACAGTCTCAGGTGCGTGTGGAAGGACATCTTTCTTTCCTCTGACTCACCTGAACTCTGGAGCGGAGTCGTTCTTTAGTCCATAAAAACCAGCAGACAGCGTGAGCAGCCAGTGAGGCACAAACGTGCCGTGTTCACACTCCAGGTAAGGAGCCGACCATTTGATCTGACTCTTTTTCAGAAGGTGATTGACACTTCTGGGGCCCTCTGGGACCCTCCTGTGGACGTGTGGTCTCCTTCCATCACTGAAGTCGTGAAACCAGCTGGACTCCGAGCTCCGGCTCTTCAGCTGACGCTGCGCAGAGCCGGAGAGGTCCTGCAGCACCACCTCATTATCGGTCCTCGTCGCCTGGAGGAAAACGTGGGGCCCGCGTGTCGGAGCTTCCGCGTGCAGGGTCACCACCGCCCTGTGGATTTTGGGGTCCCCCTCTAAGATGCTCTGAACCAACGCATGGTACCAGTGGCTGTCTTTGCGCAGCTCGCGGGACCTGTTGTCCTGCTGGATCATGTTGAGGAAGTTGGTGGCGTGCGCCAGCGTGTCCAGGATGCTGTGCAGCGAGTAGTGGGAGGCAACGTGGAGGCCGCCCCGCAGGCTGCTCAGCTCGTACCTCCGGGAACAGTTGACCTGCTTGAGCGCGGAGGAGTTCCCCGTGTGCAGGAATGCCGTCACCACTCTCGGCAAATCCTCCTCTATCTTGTGCGCCACCACCGCGCGCTCGGTGGCAGGTACAGGGTGCAGGGTCGGCTGGTTGGGCGCCTCCCCGATCACGTTCTGGGTGCTGAAGACCGTCGGGTGCTTCTCGTCTCGGTCATTATCCGACCACTCCACGTAGCCGTAGTTGGATCCCAAAACGAGTCCTGCGTGCAGGAGTAGCAGGACGACAACCAGAGTCATGGTTCCTGTTCACAGCAAGCGCACGGGGAACACCGTGGACCTCCAGAAAACTATGAAGCTCATTCCCACATCCGCTCCCTGTCCGCTGCTGCTGACGGAAAACACTTAAAAACACACATGCAGCAGAGTGTTGTTACGGTTACGGACAAGAATCCTCTCCATTTCAGCATCTTCCTTCCACACCAGGGAGAACAAACACTTTCAGCCTTGGGCTTGAAACAAATTTCAAAATCGGATCAAAAACCTCAGACCCTGTGTCCATTCCAAAGCTGAGATCAGCCTCCCCGCACTCCCGCTCAGAGGAAATCATTCAAGTGGTGTGTGTCCCTCCCAGCGAAGGCAAGTGAAAGTGAAGGCTTGTTTCACCCTGCCAGTCTGCATGACGGTGGGCGGAGCGTGGGAACGACGGGAGCTGTCCAGTGCTGACATAACCGCCTGGGGCAAGACAAAAAGAGAGGGCGCTGCTGGTGGGGCATAGGGTAAATGAGCGATAAAAGAATCATGTACAGGCCGGAAAATAAAGCAGAAGTCAGTGGGATGAGAACTACAGATCAGGTCCAGCTCCCTCGTCTCTCCTCAGAGTAACTCCTAAATCTAAATAATTAAAAAAAACATGCAGCTCATTTCTAATGAGCCTATCTTTTCATGCCAGGTTTATATCAGTGATCAAACATTATTCAAACAACAAAACTAAAATAACATTTGTTTTCTATGAGAAAATGTTTGAGCTTAGAACTGTCTGTTGGAGGCCATTTTTCATCTAGCTCATATCATTTAATTATTACCTCTTCCCGTTGCTTTAACCTGCAGCTTTTAGAATGAGATCAAATGTGTTGCTTTTAGAGAAGAAGGGACTATGCTACCCGGCCCGGGCCGACCAGGTACAGATGGGAATGGCCCATAAGTCTCTTGGTTGTCCAGGGAATGCCTTGGGATTCTCCTGGAGGCGCTGGCCCAAGTGTGTGTTAAGTCTGAACCTCACTGCTTAACCCTCTCAGGCTCAAAATAAGTTTTGATAAAAGGACAACTAAGTCCTTCAGGGGTACTTCGGAGTTAACAAATGCTCATGAAATACGTACGTGGAGTAACCAGGTAGGTAGGTTTAACTGTTGCAAATCTGCAATGCCTGCCTCCAGAGGGTTAAGCTGCTGCCCTCGCGAACCAACCCCAGATAAGCAGAGGGAAATAAATGGATGGATCACGGGATGGATGCATGGATGCGTGTGTCTGCTCTGTCTTCTCGATCCCCAGTGAGTCGTGGCGGATGGCTGCTTATACTGAGCCAGAATCCTCTGGAGATTTCTTCCTGTTAAAAGAGAGTTTTCCTCTCCACTGTCACTAGATGCTTCAAAGCTTGCTTACTATGAGGTTTACTGTAAAGAGCATTGATGCAATTTGCTGGGTTCCTTATATAGAAAACTTTTTTTCTGATTGGCTTAATGGACTGACCTGTATTGGAATGTTTACTATGTGAAGTGCCTTGAGACTGTCACGCTGACGGGCAGGAGGTTCGAACCCAAAATGCAGAACACCAGATCACTCAGACAGGAGCGGAGGTAAAGAAGTAAATTCTTTATTATTAAGGTGGAGGCTCAATCCAGCGGATAAAACACAAAAAACTGAAGTTCAAAAACAGGAGCAAGGACTCAGGCAAAAAACACGGGGAAGGAACAGAACAGCACAGACACATACAATGGACCAACAAACACTGAAGGACAAGACAAGACTTATATACACAGAGAGGAGCCATTAGGGAAACAGGCAGCAGGTGTGTGGAGTGAAGGCTGGAGGGAAAGCAGGTGCATACAATTATCTAAATGGGGAACAAAACCAGAGGAGGGCAGATAAACCTAAAACTATAAAACACGGATAACTAAACTTAGGGACTGAGGGCCAATATAAACAACCAATAACTAGAGGGGTGAGGGCTGAGGAGAATAATGGGACACAAGAGGAAAACCTGGAGTGGGAACTGGAGGGGCTGGGGAACAAAGGGACACAGAACATGACAGAGACAACTCTTGTCGTGATTTGGCGCTTTATAAATAAACTTGAATTGAACTGAACTGATGATGGGTGGAAATATCCACAAGGGGGAACACCATCACTTTAGGTTTTATTGGGATATGTGATTAAAGTCTGCTTGTTAACCTGCATACACAGTGTGTGTGTGTGTGTGTGTGTGTGTGTGTGTGTGTGTGTGTGTGTGTGTGTGTGTGTGTGTGTGTGTGTGTGTGTGTGTGTGTGTGTGTACTCTGAAATTCTCCAGAGCGCATCTAAAGTCAGTTTCTGTCTGTAAATGGGTGGTGTTGAAGAGTTCAGCTCACCCAGGGTGACTTGCAGCCCGTTGCCATGGCACCGGAGGGTGACGACTCCCATGCCATGCTCTGCTGATGATAGTGAGGACTGCAGCCTGTCTGATCTTACATTATATGAAACAGCAAAAACACATTTAGCATTAAGTTTTATGTTCGCACAAAAAAAATGTTAGAAATGAGGAACCAAAACAAACTGATTTCAAATTACTTTTGAATACCTCAAAACATTGTTATCTTTTTCACTCAGATTTACTGACCACTATCATCCAGACCACTTAAAATAAGATGCATCAAAGCAGAGGAGACGAGACGTATGTCAAATGACAGCTCCTGCACCATGTTTCATCTTCTCTTACAAGCTGCACTGCCTCCCCTGGTCTGATAAATATTTGATGGCCATTTGCTGCTTCATCTGCATGCTCTCCAACCTGGGTCCACACAGCTGCAACACTCAGAGGCTGATGTAGCAGCCATTCTTTCACCCACGCTTTGTTCTCCCAGAGGTTCCTTTAGCTGGGCTCAGAGGACAAAAAGAGCCAAATTGAAGGCTGGGGAAGAGAAAAAGGCAGATTTTCTAATGTTTAAACAGAAATGAATCACTTTTAAAAGTTAGTCGACCTTTCTTGGTTTAAAGAAAGGTAATGGAGCAAAATGAAGGGAAGAGACTTGTTACGTGTCGTCTCATGCTGTGGAAACTAAACGGTTAAAACAGACCTGTCTGGAATCATCTCTATGTAATGATGTTTAATGCTCAAACAGAAGCCACACAAAAACATTAGCTCAGACTGTGCTGTTGCTATTTTTCCTGCTGTTTACCTCCATCACAACAGCACAGCTCCACTGAATAGTAAAATTATATTCCTTGCTGCGGCTGCGCAGTGGCGCAGTGGTTAGAGCTGTTGCCTTGCAGCAAGAAGGTCCTGGATTCGCTTCCCGGCCTGGGATCTTTCTGCATGGAGTTTGCATCCCCCCCCCCCCCCCCCCCCCCAAGCGGGTTCAGACAATGGATGGATGGATATCTTTGCTGCCATCTGGAGGTTCAGCTTTTTCCACAGATACTTTTTTATTGCTCCTTCACAGAAATAGTGAAATCTGGGTGTAAAATAATTAGTTGTTTGGTTCTAAACTAGAGTTGTTTATTAAAAACAGCATCAGACGCAATCTGTTGTGTGGAGGTTCTCGTTCGATCCGGGGAGTCGATGGAGCGAACCTCTGGCATCAGGAACCCGTAGATAGCTCCGACAGGACCCGTCCAGTCTGAGATCCCTCAAGGTGAAGGCAGGAATCTGGAATGCTTATTTGTGTCCAAGGCGGATGTCTGAGAGTTGAAGTAGCTCTGGGAAGAGCTGTTGTGTCTGTAATCACTTGCAGCATCGCAGAAAGGTTTTGACTTAAGGTGAAAAGAGTTTGTTTTCAAAAGAGGCTTCTTTCCAGATTTGGCCAAATTGGGGCTCAGCTGGAAACTGAATTAATCGGGAAGCAACTCTTGTTTTATTAGGCTACTTTGTTGTGATTTCTGGCCAAGTTTGGCCAGTCAGAATTTGACACGTTTCTGAGTATTTACCAACATACCTCAGAAAGCCACGCCCTCCTCAGATACTAAGATGTTTTTAAAATTGTGAGTGAGAATGTCTCAAAACTCTTATGTGAGGTGAATATTAACCTTAATATGTATCTTATTGTACTGTGTATGAGTGTAAACAATGATTAACTTGTCAAATCAAACACACAGTGATTTGTGATATAAATGGATCATTGTAAGAACAATATTCATTTCAAATTCATGGATTTAAGCACAGTTTATTAAAACAGTTCCTTTAAACATCTTGTTCATTCATCACATATGATTATTTAACTTATAACTGTAAAATCATGGAGTCTTCACTTCTTCAGAGCGAAGAATGTTGACGTCTGGCTTTCACAGAGAGTGCAGGAACCTTGGGAGAGAATGTTTGTCTGGATGTTTTGTCTTCTGTTTGTAAACAAGCACTGAGCAGAACCTTCTGGGTTTGTAAGGCCAAATAGAAAGTGGATTTATACTGTAGGTTAAAGGTCACTATGTAGGTGTTGAAAAGATGAACACACAGCAGGACATAAGTTTCAATTATGATTTGACTGCAGATAATTAATAATGGACTCTAGGTGTTGCTAAAAGCAAGCCAAACAGCTGGAAATTCCTTTAGGGTGGAGGCGTAAAATGAGAAGACAAAACTGGATTTATAAAGTTACAAGACAGTAATTTGTATAAACACTTCCTATTAATTCTTCCAAGAACTGTGTTTTGTTGTCTTGAAATAATGAGGAATTTGTGCCCTCCTCTGGCAAAAACAAACAAACAAAAACAAACAAAAATAAATAAATAAATAAATAAATAAATAATGCAAAACAATACTCTTGTTTCCAACTGCATTTTGAAATGAAGGGAAGATGGGGAGTTGCTGCCCTCCAGTGTCAGAAAGCTGGTACTACACTTGCTCTCACCATTTAGAAGAGAAAATCCTTGCCTTATCTTAATAAAGCCTCTAAATAGCACACAAGTCTACAATAAACTAACAAAAAAATCTGCTGCCATTCTTTTAATCACAAATGCATTAAAATGTGTTTAAAAAGTACAACATTCCTTTAAAACAATGAATTATGGTGATATACACAATGTTAGTTTAACTCTGATCTATTCCAGTTCAAGGGTCAGTAATGGATCAACATGGTAGCCCTTTGTATGGCTCAGTACCCATAAAGTAGCTCTCAGTTTCAAAAAGGTTAGTGACCCCTGAACTAAAGCATATATTATCAATAAACAAATCATCATGAGAACAAAAACATGAGACAAGTATAAATTATTGCATCTTCATGTAACCTAAAATAGACTGTTATACCAAAACTGCCCATCTATCTATCTATCTATCTATCTATCTATCTATCTATCTATCTATCTATCTATCTATCTATCTATCTATCTATCTATCTATCTATCTATCTATCTATCTGTCTATCTGTCTGTCTGTCTGTCTGTCTGTCTAAGTCCCGGATGTCTGACGGTACCCAAACGCAGCACTGCTGACGAAGGAAGGTGGACACTGAGTTAGCTTTAGCTGTAGTAGCTGTACACAACTGACGCCGCAGCAGAACAGGTAGTGACTTGTTATTTTATGTTGACAGTCTTTATTTTACTTCAGCGGTCATTTATTAATTATTGTGCTGTGGTGTGTGTGTGTGTGACAGAAAAGCTGCCAGTTAACGTTAGAAAACTGGACGCTGAAAGTAGCTAGCTCACGCTAACTTGTGCTAACGTTTTGAGAGGAGAAAGCTGACAATAATGGAACGGTACTAACGGTTAACATTTTCTGTTTTAATTTGTTGTGGCGTCAATTTAGTAAAATGACACGTTTCTGTTGTCGTATATGTACGTAATATTATTTCCATTTAATCTTCTGTAGTCGAATATATATAAGAATTATTACATTTACTATGACGCACAATAAAACATTTAGTCTAAGAAGTTTTCATAACCGTCCGAGTTTTTTCGCTTTACTCAAAAAGATGTTAGTAACGACTTCCAACTGCTTAAACTGAAAACAAATGTGTTCGATGACTTCAGGTTTCTGAGTTACAAGCCACAACTAACACAATCAGGATTACTTATTAGAGTAATAAACCATAGATGACAGAAAAAAAGAAAACGATCTTTTATATAGCGCCTCTCAATATAAAAATCACGAGGCGCTTCACATAAACAAAACAAAGATTAAAGTACAAGAAAATGATCAAAAATATGTAAACCAGACTACAGGAAATTCAGCAGGAACATAAGAGAGAACTAAAGGATGATCTATGAATAGCTATCAGACGGGCCCAAAACAGTAAAACGATACAAAAATGACATTTATAGTTATTATAGATATAGTTACTATTAATTACGTTTCCAAAAGTAATTGAGTTAGTAAATGACTTTCAATATTATAAAAGTAACTAATTACCAGAAAAGTAACAATTACATCACTTTTTAAAAATGAAAATATGCAAGACAATTGGATCCCCTCTTAACAGAACTTATTACATTAACTATGAATTACTATAATTCCAAATATATAAATTACTAACTAAACTTGAACATAATAAAATGTGCGTCGTATTGTTTATTATAAAACTGATTAATTCAATCAATTAAAATTTATTCATAAAGCACTTTTCAGGCTAAAAGCAGCTCTAAGTGCTATACAAAAGAAAGCCAACCCCTCAGAAATAAAAACAACCACACCCCATAGCTGCTTTTACACTGGATGGGTGCATTTCCATCATCCGCAAAGCTTCATGTTTTAGAAGCGTTCCAGAAGTGTAGGAACACAATGCTTTCGCAAGTCTATTTACACTCTAAACTTACAGAATGCGTCAAACTCAGCAGTTCAGATCAGGCCAGACAGGAAGTCAAACATGATAATCGTATAAAGACAGGCGTACACTGGGGCTGCACAATATATCATAAATATATCGTTATCTCAATATCAGCATCATAATATGCATATCGCAAAGATCAGATAAATATTGCAATGAATGGTCAGCTCAAATGTTTGCTACTAGGGCTGCACAATATATCGAAAAATTGTCGTCATCGCGATAACAGGACGTGCGATAGGCCCATCACAAAACACGGCAAAAACAGCGATACATGTTTGGTTCAAACATTTCCATCCGTGTCATACATCAGCTTTTTGTAAACCAGCTCTGTTTTTTACGTGGAAGTATTATTGGACCAATCAAATGTAGTCCTTCTGATATGCAGCCAATCAGATGGTTCCTTTCACGTAATACGCCCGCCCCCTACATAGACCCTTTTGGAAAGCAACACCCGAACAGAGTTTGCGGCACTGTTCCCTTGTTCGTCGTGCTGGCTCAGAGCAACGAACGCACTTTGTGCTGAGGTTTCTGGAATCAGCGCCGCTTTCAAACGTGAACGTGACTCCGGTCGGTGTCGTTAATCATTTTTACCGGGCTGACTCCGACACGTGCCGGTGAACCAACCCACCTTCATGTCGCTAGTGTTAGCCCCAGGCTCTGGTTAGCTTCCAGCTAAAAGGCTACAGCACTCTCCTCCCAGTCCCACCCTGCTAAAGAGGGCCTGGAAAAGTTCCCCCACACATCAAAGTGATTTTTCCTTTATGAGCTTTTATAACCTTGTTAATCAGGATAGTTGATTTGCTGCTGCACATAAACTGTCAGTCAGAAGCTCTACTAGCCGGTTATCTTTCAATTTGTTAGCTTGTTATCAGAATCATAGTTGCAGTTTCATCATCTGAGCTGCTTTTTAAGATCTAGGTAAACTTGTTCAGTTTGGGTTTAAAAACAAACGTTTTCACATATTTTCCATGTAGTTTTTTGCCAGTTCCTCTTCTGAAAGGTAGACAATTGTTTTTCTCTTTCCCTCAGAAAATCTTAATATTCTCCTAGTTTGGCCCAGCACAGTTCACTTCCCAATTACAGCAACAGCCTTATATCATAACCACATAAGTGGAGAAAATGCTCAGTAGCAATGAGAGAATTTGCTGTTGCATTTAAGTGATGTTAACTATTATTTAACATTGAAACTTATTTTCTGATTTTTTTCATTTATTCAAAAAATCCTGGTAAGGGATGTTTTTCTGTATTTGGAGCATCAGAAAAAGTTTTATGGTGGAGGTGATGTTTTAAAGTCACCGAGAAACTGTATGCATGCAGTTTGTTGTTCTGCTGCTAATACAGTAGCAGGTGCAGCTGCATATTTATTCAATAAAAATGTCATGTTGTAATGGAATTCATGCATTAGTTTTTGTTTGCTTTGAACCCAGAGCAGACGTCACACGCCAGACGACATCAACACTGCATACTTTAGCATTTGTTCATTTATCGTGAGTAATATCGATATCGCAATATTAAGCACTGTTATCGAATATCGCAGGTTTTCCTAATATCGTGCAGCCCTATTTGCTACACATATTGCATTCTGTCAGTCAAACAGAAGCATTAGGTTTTTTATTTTTTTACAAATCAAATAGAGCTTTTCACCCATTTCTCAATGTCCTGAAGTACGGTCCGGAACGCAGGCGGAGTTTTTAGCTAACCTGCAGGAAATGTTGACGACAGTTGTCCAGAAAGTAGCTAAGGGTTACCACAGATGTTTCTGAGGTGTTCGCTAGGTACTTTCAAGATTTAAAAAGTCAAGAAGGGGGTCTGAAAAGCTGTTGGAAATAGCGTCAAAGTCGCCAAGTTGGCAACACTGTGGGAGGAGCGCTTCATTTGCAACTCGGGGCAGCGCAAGTGGGAGGAGCAAATAATCGGCTTGTTTTGTTTTTATAATCGTTCAAAACTCAGATCGTAATCGTGATTAAAATTCGATTAATTGAGCAGCCCTAATTTATAACTAATTACTTTTTTAAAGTAACATTCCCAACACTGCTTGTGAAATCACATGTGGTGTTGCAATTCTCCCGTGATTTCATGACCTTGTGGTCCCAGTGAGAAGGGAGCTTGTGAGTAAAACGCACCTATGAAGTTACACACTGCTCACTGGTTTACTCCGTCAGGTACACTGTTATTACCGCTAGCTATAGATGCTAATATCATTTTAACATTAGATAGTTTGGTACTTACCAGGGTGAAAGTCAGACTTGTTAATTGTATGATTACTTGTTCATGTTACTTGCTAATCCCATTTACTTGTATTGTCTCTTTTGAGCAGTGTTTCATTTTAGACTTTATCATGCGTGTTGAGTTTATGTCTGCTGCTCTGGGCTTAGGGATGCAACGATACCACTTTTTTCCAAACCGTTACGATACTGATACTTGGATCTGAGTACTCGCCGATACGATTACCAATACCGATACTTCTACCACACAAAAACATGCAATGATTTGGAATACAGATTTTATTTTCTTCTCTGCTTTCAACAGGAAAAGACTGTGAGGTAGATGAAAAGTAAAGTATATGAATGGAAATCATCACAAAACTAAAATATTAGGTGAACAGAAATAACAAGTTACAGTGAAGCAATTTTCAAGCAACTGCATTGGTATCGATCCCTGGTATCGGTTAACTTTTACCGATACCGATACTTGTATTGGTATCGGTACCGATACCAGGGGCAGCAGTAGCTCAGGTGGTAGAGCGGGTTGTCTCATGATCGGAGGGTCATGGGTTTGATTCCAGCTCCCGCCAGGGGATCCTGCTGATGTGTCCTTGGGAAAGACACTTCACCCAACTTGCCTGTGTTAGTGGTGGTCAGAGGGGCCGACGGCGCCAAATGGCAGCCTCGCCTCTGTCAGACCTCCCCAGGGCGGCTGTGGCTACAAGTAGCTTACCATCACTAGCAGTGTGTGAATGTGAGAGTGTGTGAAAGCGTCTTTGGGTGTCTAGAAAAGCGCTATATAAGTTCAATGCATTATTATTATTATTATTATTATTATTATTAACGTATCAGTGCATGCCTATCTGGGCTGTCCTTGTCTTTTTCCTGCATGGTTATATAAATGAAGATGAGCCAAGTTTATACAACAACCTGTTGTTTTTAAACTGCTGCACTCATTGTGTCACTTTTTGTCCCGACAAAGCACTTTTTAGGGATTGCCTTATGGATTCCCCTCAGAAGCCAAAGACGGCTAACCCAAAACAAGAAGCTAAACGCTGCCAGAATCTGCCAAGCACTCCTCAAAAAAATGCATATGCCAGGCTTCTCAGCCAGCACCACAACAGTAAGTTCAGTTTGTATCTAGAGGAATATGCAAAGCAGTCTTCATCCCAAACAAAGGGAAACGGTTCCAACTCAGCACCAGGTGCATATAACGATAGGCTCAATATACCACAACACGCAATGGACCAAGTTCTTACTGACTTTTCTGATTCAAGTGATTTCTCTCCATCATCTCTGAAAAATAAATCGGAAGAGAGTTCACTGTCTTTATACATGGAGAAAATAAACACTCGCAGTCCTCAGCAAGAGGTTGAAAGGAAACAAGGCGTGTCTGAAAGGCAGCAACGAGGACCGAGAAGGGACACAGCCACCAGTCAAGATGGAGACATTGAATCTGGAGAGGAATTTGGTGTTCCAAAACCCAGCAGTTCAAAGAAACATCAGAAACAGCCAAGGAAAAAAGAAGGCTCTCACAGAAATGCTGCCCCCAGAGAGCTAGAGTCATTTGCTGGGTCTTCTCCGCGCCTGGTGAAAGCTAGTACAAGTGCACCAGAACAAGAGAAGACAAAGTCAAAGAAAAAAGTCCAACCAAAGCACCCTGAAGAGGACAAAAGCAGAGGTGGGGTGTTAAATTCTGGTGCTGACCCTCAGACGTCACGGCACAAAGCATCTCACAATAAAGACGCAAAGTCTCAGCCCCACACAGGTCAGTCGTGGGTTACTTTATTTAAGAGGAAAACAAACAGCAATGTTCTAATAAGCCACGTTGATTTCTGTCATCTAGAACAGTCATGAGTGGAAACGTTAATGGAAGGTCTTAAAATGTCTTTAAAACTTTTTACCTCTCATCTGACCTAAAGAAGCCTTTTATGTCTTCAAGAAACAAGGAAGGAGGTCTAGTTTCTTTCTTTTCAACTCTTGTCATGATGAGCTAGTTTAATGAACTGCGTGTGGTTGTCAAATCAATGAGTGCTATCTTTTTTCAGCTTCCCAGACTAATTCTCCTGCTGGGAAGAGAAAGAACAAAGTGGACCAGAAATCAAAGAAGCAGGTGTTTGAATCCTACATGACCGCTGAGGAAGTTTCCCGTGGCCTTGAAAGAGGAGAGCTTTACCAGGTGTGTGGACCACAACCTCGTCTTTGAGTTTGGATGAATTTAATTTCATCAGAAATGTTGGAACACTCAAGGTTTTCATAGCTTTGTTTGCTCTTTTCATTTTTATATCTTTATTCACTTTTAACTTCAGATTTTAATTGTAATTTTGGCTTGATTTTTTTTTTCTGGGTCGTGAATCGACTAAATGTTTAATCACAATTGCGCGAGTCTGATAGTTAACTTGCTATTTATTGAAAATTAATTGCAATATAGAAGGGGTAGAAATAGTTAATTTATGGCATTGTATGTTTATTATTGCAACAACCTCACCGTCCCCACACACACACACACACTGATGTGCACGTAAACACATTGAGTCAGAGTGTTTACATGCGCATCAGAAAACCAAAATATTGCCTTAAAAAGACTCTTGTCACTTCTTTTTTCTTGGACGTAAACGCATCAGGCTGGCTCGAGCTGAAGCACTCAGATAATGCGGTAGTAATCTGATTACATCCTGCATGTAAATGGCTCAGCCGAACTAAACCGGTAAGATGCACGCGTTCCATAAGTGACGAGACCGCAGAAGCAAGTCTTCTGACAGGACCATCATCACAAAGCAAGGCGCGTAACACCATAAAGCAGGACAGTAATACCAAATAAGCTGTGCTGCAGCGTTGTTGTATATATCACCCCACCACATCCAATCCAATCCAATCCAATTTTATTTATAAAGCGCATTCACAAGGCATTACAACCAAACAAGGCGCTGTACACTAAAAATGTTGGTTAATTAAACAGGCGTTATATAAACATGTCGAACACAGATAAAAGATAAAAAGGAAATACAAGAAAATTCCCAAAAATAACAGCTAAAAATCATTAAGACACAGGGTGAAGGAAAAATAGGAAAAAAACATTTTACAAAGAACCTCAATAATACGGAAGTCGATAATTGTGGAGTCAGTTTATAAACAGTGCAGATGTCAGTGAGGTTCATAATTATGTGGTATAAGCTAGGTTGAAGTAGTGAGTTTTCAGGCGTGATTTAAAAATGCTAGCTGTTGGTGCTAGCCTCACTAGTAGTGGTAATGCGTTCCACAGCTTCGGTGCACAGACAGAGAAAGCCCTCTCTCCATGGCTTTTTAAACGTGCATTGGGAACAGCTAGGAGGAGCTTATCTTCAGACCTGAGAGCACGCGGCGGGTTGTAGTAATGGACAAGTTCACACAGATATGGAGGAGCTTGATGGTTCAAGGATTTGTAAGTGAGAAGCATAATTTTGAAGTTTATCCTGAACTGCACGGGCAAAACATCACCCCTGTTCTTCAGCAGCTCCACTGGCTCCCAGTCACTTCCAGAATCCAATTCAAAATTCTGCTATATACATTCAAAGCCATCCATAACCTAGCTCCACCGTACCTCTCAGACCTCCTTCATCCTTCAACCTCCACCCATTCCCTCAAGTCCTCCTCCTCCATCCACCTCTCTGTCCCACCTTTCCGTCTGGTCACTCTGGGGAGCAGGGCCTTCAGCCGCTCTGCTCCCCAGCTCTGGAACTTACTCCCTCCTGACCTCCGTAACATTGATTCCCTCACTCTCTGTCGCCACCTACTGTACCGGAGTGCAACAGACTTTATTTGAGAGGCCGGTTTCCTAATGCACATGCCCATTTTATTTTTATTTCTGTTTTTTGTTAGTTATTTCTGATTTAGTTTTCATTAGGAGAAAAAATTCTGGAGTAGTCTGTCTCTTGAAGTCATTTTTTATTTTTTGTCTTTCCTCTACAGGGACAATTAAGAATCAACCCTAAGAAATTCACGGACGCCTTCATCCCTTCTCATGTAAGTTCGTCTCCGCCTGTAATGGCGCTGCAGTGAGTCACAACATGGGTGTTGAGAATCTTTCCCGAGCATCACATAAGGTAGAAAACAAGCTGCAACTTTCAACCTGCAGGATGACACACACGATATCTACCTGGAAGGCATTGCCGCTCGCAACCGTGCGCTAAATGGAGACATAGTGGTGGTCCAGATCCTACCTCCTGAGCAGTGGAAGGTAAACACTCCACAAGTAACACCCCACTGTTAAACACTCTTTAAAGCCAAAGGGCTATGTGTGCTTTGTCAGGTTCATTTTGTTTGACATTAGAAAGAACAGTTGAGAGTAAACTGAGTAGATTGAAACCCAATCTACCTTCAAAGTGGTAATGAGTACATTATTGGTAGTGCGAGTTAAACAACACTTCAACAGTAGTGCCGCAGCTATGATGTAATGAACAGAGAGAATATGTCATAACTTTAAATCCAGCTTTAAATTCCACTTCTGAGAATCATTTAGAGCAGTGGGTTCCAGTGCTTAGTGTCACTAAGTAAAGTAGCCCTAATACCCTTTTTTCCACTACATCTGAGAGAGATGAAACTGGTTAGGGCTGCACGATATTAGGAAAACCTGCAATATTCAATAACAGTGCTTAATATTGCGATATCAATATTACTTGAGATAAATGAACAAATACTAAAGTATGCAGTGTTGATGTCGTCTGGCGTGTGACGTCTGCTCTGGGTTCAAAGCAAACAAAAACTAATGCATGAATTCCATTACAACATAACATTTTTATTGCAAGAATAAGCAGCTGCACCTGCTACTGTATTAGCAGCAAAACAACAAACTGCATGCATGCAGTTTCTCAGTGACTTTAAAACATCACCACCACCATAAAACTTTTTCTGATGCTCCAAATACAGAAAAACATCCCTAACCAGGGTTTTTGAATAAATAAAAATATCAGAAAATAAGTCTAAATGTTAAATAATAGTTAACATCGCTTACATGCAACAGCAAATTCTCTCATTGCTACTGAACATTTTATCCACTTACCGTAAATCCTCT